CATAACGTGAGTTTACATAAACCATAATCCTGGTCTACGTTTGACGTGACTTACATCATTTTAACCTTCAGACAAACTTTCTTACACATTAGCCAATGCTTCAAAGTAAAGTATAACTACCATCACAAAAACAGATGTATTTATATCTTTGTCTTGAAAGTTCCAAAACATTAATATTAAGAGAATCAAGTAGGAAAGTACTTTAATCACAAACTGTTTGTAAGGATGATTCAGCATTATGTGTTCATTTATTCTGTCATTAGAAACTTTTTTACCTGAGCAAGTTTATTATTAACTTCCTTGATATTAATTTTTACCATAAATATGCTTAGAATATACTGAGTGTTAGTATACCTGTGTCAGTTTTCATCTGCTTTGTGAATAACACAGTTTTACTAATCTTATAAGATTCCAAAAAACAAAATACAGAATTTCACACAAGACCGAATCATCCTATGATGTAAATTTTGTTCATTACATAAATGAATACACCATTTAAGAACATTCTTTTTGACACATTTTAAACTTCTATTGGTTTAAATGAGTTTTATTGTAAACAGTCCAGAGATTCATGTGCACAAACACACTTTTAATAATATATTTTAGAAACATTCCTCTGGCTTTTGTTGAACTTTCGAGTTTAACTCTATATGATTCTACAGTCAAAAGAAAGCCTATAACTGACTAGATCAACAGAAATAAAGAAATTAAAAAAAAAACGTACTCTACAAGTTATTTATGGAAATTACATGCAACTACAATGTAAGTACACTAAAGAATATCACCTGTGAGTTACAAATGGTTGACAAACTAAGATAAGTGTATAAAGGACATGAAAAAATATTTCTTGTGTTAAACCATTCAAGTTTATCAGGCATTTATAAACAGTAAAACCATTTCCTTTGTACTTATTTAACAATAAGTTTAGGCTTAGAAGATTGTACTGGGAGACTTAGTTTTTGGATTACATTTCAAGCTCCTAATGTTCTTAGGTAAATGACGTTCACAAAAGTCACTAATGAAATTCCCTTTGTACTTATTTAACAATAAGTTTAGGCTTAGAAGACTGTACTGGGAGACTTAGTTTTTGGATTACATTTCAAGCTCCTAATGTTCTTAGGTAAATGACGTTCACAAAAGTCACTAATGAAATTCCCTTTGTAACAACAGTTAAAAGTCTACAACAAACAAACTTAAAAAACCGCAAAATTCAGTTTTGCAAAGTATTTTTCTGAAATAGCAAAAGTTTATGTAAATATACAGGATAGGTCAGCATTAAGAGTTTACTATGATACTAGATGTTTTAAAAACTAACATATTCCTATTGAAACAATTTAGTAAATCAAGTGAAAAAGTTTGCCTATTGGAAAATCCTTCAGACCAGCACTTCTGAAACTTTTTCGGCTACGGACAAATTTTCAACTCTAAAACTATTGACAGAACATTTAAGAAACATTCTTATATTAGAAAGCTAATCATAAAAAATTATTATCACGAGAACTTGTTTTTCGTTTTAAAGTTCCTTCTTTTAGCCACCGATCCACGGCTTAGTAGTATCAATACTTAAAATCACTGTAATCTTGTAATGTTAAAAATACTCACAAGCTCATGACTAACTTGTTGTTTCCTTGAAACACCACACTTGATTATCACTAGCAACTAACTTACAGTGACTCATCAATTAGGCTTCACCCATCAAATGAAATAGCCAATGACAAAGGGAATACAGGGTGATATGACTTATGGGCTGATTTAGCTTTTAAGCCATACCTGTATTTGGCCTGCTCCTTTACTCCAACTACACTACACAAAATTTTCTTGCAGAATGCTTGGATATATCATATGGAGTCCTATGGTTTTGCTGAACACAGTTTGGGAAATGCTGCTTTCAATCACTTTTATGTACCTTCTAGAGAGTTTACACGTAGGTGATCAGTTGAAATAACTTCCTAAGGAAAGAGAAGTTTCCCTCTCGTGTAGGTTATCGATGAAATACTGTTCTGAGAAACTTAATTTCTTGAAAGATAAAAAATGTATGGACTGTAGAGGTGTTGAACAAGACTTGTTACTTCAAGTTAAGTAGCAGTGCAAATAGTGATGTATGTTAAAAACTCTCTTGATACTAACTTTAAAACGTCAGGTGTTGAATATGCATGATTACATCAAGATTCTAGTTTCTGTTTACAATCTCTATAAATATTTATGTAACTCCTTTTGTTTCATTCACTATGAAATTTGTTACATGTATGTCGGGTAAAATACAAGCAATAAGCCCCTTTAGCATGCATTTTTGAACGTTTGTAAATAAGCACACCAATATAAAATGGGTATATTACTAACTTAGTAATTCCATAAATCTTATAACAACAACAACAAAATAATAATCTTGAACACCTGCAGGCACCATCAAAAATCTATAACATTCACATAAATAGTGCAGGTAGTTTTTGTTTTCTTTTCTCAGAAATTACTGTTCTATGATTTCAAGAAACAAATAGCAATACGAGTTATTTTCTCAATACTTTTTACAGGACATTACTGATTGAAAGATCTGCTTTCTTTTTCTGAAAAATTACTGAAGATAAAAAAACGTTTAAAAGCTTGTATACAGGCCAGTAGGAACATTTTGAAAGTGACATGGCTATACCATGTAACTCCATAGCAGTAATGTCATAACAGTATGTTATCATTTTTACATTAACACACTGTGCTTATAAAAACTAAACAAAACACTGTACTTTTACTTTTTTACTACTAAACAAGTAAAAAAATATTTTGGTGCCTTACATAGCAGAACTTTAGTTTCACCAAGAGACTGATGCTTGCTTGTAACTGCACCACATGACCAATACATTGCAGTTGTACACATGTATATATATATATATATATATATATATATAT